ATTTTATCCAAATGGGCAACTAAAGACAGCAACCAAAACCGGCGCACGAAAGTGCGTGGTTAATGGTTGTAAAAACAAACTGAAACTGATTCCTTACATATTTGATAACCTATGATTTATCACAAGCGTCCTTGTTTCGTAGGCACCTTAAATAGTTACACTTATCACCTAGCAAGGACAGTTTAACCAAGTCCGATTCTTGTCCAAGATTGATGTTAGCTGGGTCTGATTACGTGATATGTATATACGTTTTGCTAAGCAATCAACAAATGGCTTGAAAATGGATTATTGTGATAGTTATCTTTCAGAAAAAGAAAAAAATAATTCTACTGCTGAAGCCAGAGGCTGTCTTAAACGTTATCGTATGTTCCTAAGCAATCCACACTTTCAAGGACAGTCTCATTATAAGATGAATTTTGTTGTCTAACTCAACAGGTTTATGAAAAAGGTGTAAAAGCAGTTCCTCTCAGCATTGACCTATGGACCGCTTATTTAGATGCGGCCGTCGAGTTCTATCACGGTCGTGAAGAATATGAACCCAAAATGCGCAGGTGAGTTTGATGGTTTAACCCAGTTTATGCGAATACTTTTTATATGTGCAGTCTCTATGAAGAAGCACTCGAAGCTGCCGGTTTGGAGTTTCGTTCCGATGCCTTGTGGGAACATTATATCGGCTGGGAAACCAGTCACAATCGTTTGGTCAATGTTGTGGAGATCTACACGAGACTTCTTCAGACACCAACCCAATTGTACTTTCAGAACTGGGATAGGTAAGTCTGTCTTGTCGCTACCACCACTTACGAAATTCAAGAATGATTAATAATTTTAACAATCTTTTGGTTAAGCTCAGTTATGTTTATCGAGTTTTACACACTACAGTACTGTAGCTCTGTTTTCAAGTGTATTCCAGTTTGTGTGTATTTGGATTTTTTTTACCATAGTCATTTAGCGTAAACGGGCAAGCTCCGCTCTCCATCATGCGATAAATTCAAAAACATCAGGTCGCATTATGATCTGTGCTCACATCTACCATTCATTTACCATCACACGCGGATTCTGACAAGGGTCCCCGGCTTCACCCTCCTCTTAAATTTCGCGATGGACAATCCGCGCTCTAGAAAACTGCAGAGCTTCCAGTGTGAAACTTTTCCCGGGAGATCGACTCCGTGACTTGGAATATGCTGATGGCATCTTTATACTCAGCGACTCCTCCAATGACTCAAAACGTCCTTTGTAAGTTAGCATTGCCTATCACGCAGTTTGGTATGATCTATTCTCCTTCGAAATGTGAGGTCTTGCGACAAGACTGACAAGAGACCACCTATTCTCACGCTCATAAACAACCAGCTGGAAATCGTCGATCACTGTACTTATCTCGGGAATTGCTTCAGCTCAAGAGGACTGACGGAAGAAATATCAGCGCCTAGCCTCAAGGCTCGAATGGCTTTCGCTAACCTACATCACTTGTCGCACCGACGCGATCTCAGTTTCTCCTTGAGAGGTCGCATTTACATTGTCACGGTACGCACTTTCTTACTCTCCAGGTTGGCCCCCTATACACAGAAGGCGTACGGAGATTGTCTTTGATCATTGTTACCTTTGTTATAGCACCAGAATACGTTGGTAATAGAGAATCACCAACGACGAGGTTCGCCGAAGAATCTCCGCCTCAGAAAATCTGTTGTCCTCTGAGTGTCATCATCTCGTTCCGGTGGCCGGGACATGTGTTGCGGATGCCCGCTCAACGATTGCCTCATCGTGTTATATTCGCGCAAGCAGACTAATTGGAAGTGGCGTCAAGGTGGACAGCGAATAACTTGGGCTCGATGCCAGTGGTAGGACGCTCTAGACTCC